TATGATTGGCTTCTAGGGCAGTGATCTCATCTTTCATAGCTTTAATCCAACAGTCATGCTTAGAAGCTTCAGCAAAGGAGTTAGGCTCGGTGGTAGTAGAAATAGATAAAATGAAATGACGAAAAGATGAAGATAAGTGAGCATAAGAAATGAAAGACTCTAAGGGATAGCGAATACCTGGAGAAGATGGTGATCCAGTTGATGTAAGTGTCACATGAAAATCTCGAAGATAGGAAGGTGGATGATGTGAACGAGTAGACCGACGAGGAGCAGGGGTTGAATGAGCAGATTCGGGTGAAGAAATAGAAGGAGAAGGCTGAGAAGTGGAAGGTGCAAGATTATGAAGATTGAAGTCAGAAATAATGTGGTCATTTGTGAAAGGTAGAGGGAGAGATGGAGTAAATGATGTAGGTTGAGCAGTATGGTCAACATAAGGAAAATGGTCTTCATAAAATATAACATTTCGAGAAACCTCAATGTTACGAGTATGAAGATTGAAGGTGAGATAGCCTTTGGTGTGGGGTTTGAATCCAAGAAAAACACAAGGGTGAGCCCTGGGATCCAATTTCTTACGGTGGGCTTTAATAGTACTAACATAACAAAGACATCCAAAGACACGAAGAGTGGTAATGTCGCATGGTTTGCCATATAATTTTTCAAAAGGGGAAATATGTTGTAAGAAAGGCGTGGTAAGGCAGTTGATGATGTATGTAGCATGCATGAGTGCAAAACACCAAAACGAAGGGGGAAGAGCAGATTGAAAAAGGAGTGCACGGGTAACGTTTAAAAGGTGTTGATGTTTACGTTCAACAATTCCATTTTGCTCAGGAGTTTCAATGCATGTGGTTTGGTGAATAATTCCTTTGGATTCAAAATATTTATTCATGGAAAATTCAACCCCATTATCAGTTCTTATAACTTTGACTTGAGTTTCAAATTGGTTTTCAACGTAAGCAATGAAATTGGTTACACAATTACGCACCTCTGCTTTAGTTTTCATGAGAAAAACCCACGTAAATCGTGTATGATCATCAACTATGGTAAGAAAATAACGATGTCCATGTAAAGATATTTTTGAACAAGGTCCCCAGATATCAATGTGAAGTAAGTCAAAAGATTTAGATGTATGAGAATGACTCAGAGGGAATGGGAGTTTCTTTTGCTTAGCATAATGACAGGTGTTACACGTAAAGTGTTTGTTACTATATAGACATGGGTAATATTGTTTCATAGAATGTAATTTTTCATATGGCAAGTGACCCATGCGAAAATGCCACAGATCAATGGATTGAATGCTACATTCAGGATTGCAGACAGTAGAACATATAGAGGGTTGAATGGCAGCAATGGTCATGGTGTAGAGTCCAACATTTACATCAACTGTACCAATCTTCTCGTTGGTTTTCAGATCCTGAATAACACAAGACGTGGAGCAAAAAATGAGTTGCACATCAAGAGAAGAAACCAACTTAGAAATGGAAATTAAATTGAATTTAAAATCTGGTATAAACAACACATCTGATAAGTAGAAAGTATCAGTGAACTTTACTAGACCGGAATGGGTAGCGAGTACTTGTTGACCTGTGGGTAGCTTGACGACAATAGGATTAATGGAACGATACGAAAAGAAATTTGAAAGGGAAGAAGATATATGATCAGTGGCTCCAGAGTCAATGACCCAAGAGGTGAGATTGTATGTGCTGACAGAGGTGGAAAAACAATTACCTGGGGATGGTGAGGGCTGTGTGGAACATGAAGAAACAGAACCAACATGATTTATATGTGAAGAAGGAGAAGCTGAGTTGCTATTGGTTGACTGTTGTATTAAACCCATCAAGATTTGATACTGCTGAGGAGTGAAGCGATAATCCTGGTTTGGAATAGCTTGCTGTTGATCACTGGCCTTACATTCATCAGTCACCGTGTTGTTTACAATGGAAGTCTTGCCAGTCGGGGATTTGTAACCTGGAGGAAACCCGTGTTTACGGTAGCAAACATCTATAGTGTGTCCATTTCTCCCACAGTGAATACAAATTTTACCAGACCGATTAGAGGCACCACGATTGCTTTTATCGTCATGGTTAGAAGGAAAACCATGTTTACGATAGCATAGATTCTCCGTGTGTCCTTATTTACCACAGTGGGTACATGTGAAAGATGAAGCAGTTGCATTGATTGCAGCAGTTTTTGTAACCGTATTGGCCATAAAATTAGACCCTAAAAGTTGGCGTTCCTGTTGAGCAACATAGGAGAAAATCTTAGAAATTGGAGGAATGGGGTCCATGAGGAGAACATGAGATCTAACATTGCTATATTGTTCATTTAATCCACGTAAGAACTGCATAGCTTGATCTTCTCGCTTCCTTTGAGCTATGGTGGGTAAAACATTGCAAGAACATTTGTGGGTACATGAACATGTAGGATTTGGCCTAAAATTTTCCAATTCGTCCCAAATAATCCTAAGTTTTGTGAAGAACTCAGTGACAGAAAGGTCTCCCTACTGAAGGGAAGAAGCTTCATACTGCAAATCTGAAATACGAAGGAGGTCACCTTGAGAGTACCTTGATTTAAGATCATTCCAAATCTCATCAGCTTTGTCCATCCAAAGTATACTCTGACGAATAGAAGGAGAAACTGAATGTACAAGCCA